AGGAGGCGATGGGCAAGGTGACAGTGGTGGCCCTTTTCCAGGCCAGCTGATTATTCTGCTTGGTGCAGGCTACCAGGTACGTGTCCATCACATGTTAGCCAATGTCCACCTTGACCTTTTGTCACTTCTGTCCATGACATTACATTGCATCACCCCAGGAGTCCTAAATCAGTGACAAAGCATGACATTCACACTTACTTTAAGTATTATTTGATATTGAACAGCTTCTGATTATTTTTAAGGCCCATTCTGAAAGGATTGCGTAGATGCCAACAGCCACTATTCACTGTCAAAAAAGTGCATCCTGTTGATGCTTGTTTGTTAAGCAGACTATTCATAAAAGCTTTATTAACAATTGTGTTATTTGAAAACAGATTTTTAAACTCATAGTCTCTGATTTCCCACTTCTGTGCAGAGTGGACGGCCTGCGCCAGAAGCTGGAGAGTCAGGGTCTGAAGGAAGTGGTCTACATGGTCATCAACCACCAGGGGGAGCAAGCACAGCGCCTGCACACCATGCTCGCACAGAGACTATCAGAGAACATCACACTGTACAAACAGGACACGCAGGAGCCGGATGTCTGGCAGACACTGGGTGGAGAGAAAGATGACTTTTTCATTTATGACAGGTTTGTTGTCTGTAGTTTTTAGTCACATTTTGCAATAACAAATATTGTTATTTTTTATTTTCCTCACCATGCTTTTCTATCCCTTTGCGTCAGGTGTGGCCGTCTCACCCGCCACATTTCTCTTCCATACTCCATCATTGGACAAGGCCATGTGGAGAGTGCGATCAAAGACACCTACTGCAAGCGCATCTGTGGGGAATGCACACATGAGGTACAGACCACACATTTGGCAACACATTTTTATCAAAGATAGGCTCATATACTGAAATCTCTTTTATGTTTCTATTTTTCAGAGCGCTGAGATACCAGAGGAGTGCAAAGCGAAAGCAGATGCACAGCCTGACGCAGACGGAAGCCCACCTGTAGAGGAAGCCACTGGACATGGTCACCATCATGGGCATCACCATGGTCATGGCCACCAAGGGGATAATCATGGTTTTAACCCTCGTGGCTTTGGCCATGGCCATGATCACAACCATGGTCATCACCATGGAAATCATAATGGCCATGGCGGTGACCATGGACAAGGTCAAAGTCAGCAAGGTGTTAGACATCAGGGCCATGAGCAAGATGGGCAAAGACAAGATCATTTAGATTTAGGCCAGATGCAGCAAGTGATGCACATGCACCAGATGCCACAGGAGGCTCATGGAGCCCCTGTGAGGCCTTGAGTACCAGAGAAGGCTAGGTGAAAGTCAAAGCACAGCTGACAGTGGACAGCAGGCTCTGACAATGAAGCCTCTCCTAAGGCCAGCTGATGCTGACACTGACGCAGGCTGTTTGGCGAGGCAGGCAGTGAGCAGCCGGTCGGTCTCTGACACTGTGATGAGGCGCTGCCCGCCTCCTGACAGTGACACGGACTGATAGGCGATGCAGCCAATAACGTTAGGGAGACCTGACAGTGACGCTTGCCTCCGGCTGACTGACAGCAGCCTCAGCCAGCCCAATGAGCCTGACCCCAAGGTGTGAGCTGAGGATGAGAGCAGTTGTAAGCTGACTCTGATATCAGTCTCATATTAATACCAGCCAGAAACACCGGGGGCTAAGCGCTCTTTTTACCAACAAGTATTACCCTGGGAGAGGGCAGGGCAATTCCTGACAGCATGTGGGATAGATGAACAGGTCTAACATCACACTGGTAAAGACAAAATAAGGTAGATAAACACCACCAGCTTGTTAAATCATGACATTTAGCAACAGATATGCAAATAATTGGATTGTGCCTTAAAGAATGTATGTCGTGTTTCACCTGTCTCAGCATGTCTGTCAGTGGGTTGCGCTCATCCTTTCTCAGGAGTGTATGTGGTTGTCATGTTCATTAATTGCCTCCTCCATTTTGCTCTCTCCATCCTTTATGAAACCAGGCGCAGAAACTACGCTCTAGTGGCGTCTGTTGGAAGTCAGGCAGGAGAGGGAGGAGAGGGTAGTTCAGGAACATGACAAACACTATAAAACATTTTAAACTTCAGTATCAAAGGATATTTGAGGGAACAGAAAAAAATTTGAATGTGCAAATACTGAAAAAAGCAACGATTAATTACAGATTCAGTAATCTTTTATTCGGGGAAACCTGAAAGCACTGGCCCGTTGAAAAGTCCTACATAACAATTTAAAAGCAAACCTAAAAAAGTTTTATACTAGTGATATGTCTATATGCCATGCTATTGATTGTTCTTGAGCACATAAAAGAGCAGTGACTACCACAAATTACTTTCTTTTTGTTTTGAGTCCACAAGTTTAAACATATATCAGGTTCATCTTTCACCACACACGCACGTTTTAAATGTTGGTATTCCTGTATATGTTTTTCTTTGCATTTCCTTTGCAATTTGCACACATTTATACAAGGCTTGCTTAAAAAAAAGAATACAAACCTCTATTGTGTAGAAAAGGTCAGAGGGAAAAAAAGAATGCAGCAATAAATGACGGTTGGAATACACTCTGCACTTAATGATGGCTTCTGTGGGAAGATAAGTCACCTGGAAAACCTGATGTTTGTACAGAGAACTGTATTGTGGTAAGGTTGTCAAACATGGAAACAGTTGAATAAAGATGGTTGAGTTACTTTTTTTAGTGTGTGTGTGTTCTTGCCAAAAGTTAAGCAGTTTAAAGTATACACAAATGTATAAATTCAAGCTCTGTCAAATGTGCTGTATAAGAGGGATTGTGGGGGAGTGACTCTTGTTATTTGGCAGCTATCCTGCACGTGCCTCAGGGGTCGGACGCATGTGACTTCAACAAAGCAGAGGGATCATATTACCCATACTTTTACATTTATGATCTTTGTAAGAGTCATGCCATTAAAGTCCAACACACAGATCTCACATCTTTATGTCCCTTATGCTGTTAAGTAGATAAAACTGTTGTCACTAATGTATTTTGGAGTAGATTTATATAAAGGGTGCTTTTAGACTGTTTTGCCTAATATTTGTCAGCAGATGGCGATGAAGGTCAACACAATAAACCACCATCACATTCTCAATAACTGGTGAGTTTACTGGTGGAGCCTGTCCTCCTTATTGACCTCATATAGACATACCACATTCTTTGAAATCTCCACCCAAATGAGCTTTCAACAGAGTGCCTCTTCACATCAAATCATTAACTCACGTCACTTTTTTATTCTGATAAATTACTGTAGCATTTTCAAGGATTGCGCATATGTATTTCTACATGTTCACACATGCAATTTTAATTCTAGTGATTTAAGCAATTCTGTTTTTTCAGCAGGGGCAGATCTAGACAAATAATCATGGCATGGCAGAAATACAAGCTGATTTAATAGCAAACAATCTGTATTTATCTAGGAACCAAAAAAAACCCACCAAAAAAAGATATTTTAACTCATAAACATTACATTATTATGGCACATTAGTAAAGCATTGAATAGAAATATCTAAAGGTGGCATTATAAATCAATTGTTAGATAGAGTTGTGTTTAATTTACAATTCTTCAGGCAAATACATTTTTTCATCACTTAGTCTAAAATTTGTCCATAACAGATCATTAAATCATTTCCGTTATTTAACACATACTTTTTAAATTCATCTAAATGAATGTGTTAAATCTGGCAGCATTTGACAATAAACTGGGCAGCAGCTGCACCTATCCCTCTAGATCCGCCCCCTGATGTCCAGTGCCAGCTTGAATAATTTGCAGGAGCAGTTGTTAATTAACCAAATCCATCCTGTTTGATCAGTTGTGGTTTTACATATTTTGGTTCCTCAACTATATAGCTAGTTTGTCACATATATACGTATGCACATATTGTAGATTGATACACTTGTTACATCCCTCTTTTAGTATTTGTGATACTGATGCCGAACACGATACACATTTGGTTTGTCGGTGTGGTATCGTTTGTTTGTGTTTGTGTACTTGCCTTGGATGCATGTAATATTAAAAAATGTGCCATCACCAAGAGAGGCATCTTAAGCTCAATTTTTAATGGCAATGCACAGCTCAAAACCTGTGAAACTGTCTTCAAGACTTTAAGTGCAACACCCTCTGCTCGGTATAATGTATCTGAATTGCCTGTTGGACTGTGTGTCTGAAAAGGTCAACAAGCAACTGAAGGTAATAAATGAGGCCGAGGTGGACTGCTTGTGTGGGCGTAATTGGGCTGAAGATCCAATACAGGGGAACAGTGACTTATGGGTAATTACCTGCAATGTCCTGAGACGAAGAGCTGTGAGTGGCTGTCTCTCTGATTCAATCAGCCCCACACAGAGCAGTGCAATACACAGCCTCTGTCTTAATTGTCCGATATGCTTTCCCCACGATGCGCAACTGTTTCTGCAGCCGTTTCCTCTCCACTTACTCCAGGACACAGAGAGAAAGACTCATTCACACACACAAAGTGCCTCTGTGTTGCTTACAAACGAGTACACAAGTTTTCCACCCTACAACCACCGCACAATTCTTATTTTCCCCTCTCACCCATACACAAACCCATTTGCATTTGAACTCTCCCACACTGGGCTGTACATTTTGTTCATTAACGGCCTTTTCTGTCACTGAGAGCTGATGTTGAGCTGACCTTTACTGTGCAGTGTGCTGCTTGTGTACTTAATGAAACAATTGGCAGCGAGCTAAGGAGGTCTTGTGAACAGAGTTACATTTAAAATTTAATTGAAATTATAATCAGTAACATGATCTTGATAACCCAGTGAAATCTAATTATATTATTTAGTTTACTTTTGCATTTCCAACACTAACATTAGATCATTTGTTGAATATACTGTTACAGTCCAATTTAAGGTCTGGTAAGAACGAGGCTTTAGAAACACAGAAAGTCTTCAGAAAGCACCTGTTAAATGTTTTTTTTTTTTTTTTTTATCGACAACTGATGACAAAACGTAGACAAGATGATTGAGATGCCACATACATACATTTATTGTGTAACTTGTTGAAAAGCTTATTGATCACACATACAACACCAGAAAGGCTCAACTGAACAATATCAAATCATCAAAGATCAACACAGTTCTTGGCCTTGAGTAAAACAGCAGCCAACAGACAAGAACAGTGGCTCCAAGGTCAAGATGGTGTGAAAATATGATTGAGGCACAATAATGGAGCAAAGTCGCTCATCCGTTAATGAAGCCAATGAAAACGGATCAATTATGGTGCTAGGGTTTTCCACACAAGCAACCGCAATGCAGCTGTTTCCAATTCTAAATTGTACATTTTTTGTTTTATAAGTCTGAATGACACGTCAGACAATAACAGTGCACACACTACTCATGCTGCCCCATCCACTGTTGTCAGCTAAGGTGGTGGGGTGATCTGAGAGCTCTAAACAGACAAATAAATAACATGTGAATAGAAATTACAGAGCGGAGCCACTGAACTTAGTGATAAAAAACCAGGTATATGCTGTACTCAAGTCAATAATTAAACAATTTCCCCAACAAGCTGAAAAATGTCTGGCTGAACTCTCTTTGTTTGATAAAGAGTCGCATACAACCAGCACAAATTTCAGCACTCAAGATTACTTCCAGGCTTAACAGAGCGACAAAAGCCACCCTTGAACCTACGCAAAACCAAGAAGCTGGAGGCCAAAATACATTATTATAAAACACTGTAGCCCCTTCAAATGCACTTTTCAATAATGAAATGCAGTAATCACATAGTGGGAGAAATTTAAGAGTGTAGAGTTACAGTATAACTATTTCACTCTGCCTATATTTTGATATGACTTCATAAAATACTATATCTATCTGCTCTATTTATCCATAAATCTTATAGCAAACATTAAATACTCCATTACAGTACATAATTCTATCAATCTGGTAGTGTAAAATATGTCCTATAAACATAAACTCTGTAGAACCAAACTTAAGCTTATTGATATTGAAGGATCCTCATTGTCTGATTATTTTGCTGAATAAAAAACATAATGCTGTTTTATAATAACAGGTAATTCATAGACTTGATCTAGTCCAAAATACAAAATCTGAACACTATCTTAAACATCAGATATATATGTGTGTACAAAGTGCTTGCTCTAAAGTGTCTGAAATATTTATAAGCTTGAAATAACAGTTGCAAACTTTTACACATTAAGAATGAGCTCATTGTGAACTGGCAAAAAAAAAAAAAAAAAAATGCAGACACAATGTAGTAAACACCTGTGCAGTAAGCTTGAACAAAAAAGCACCTACCAATTTATCTTCCTTTGCTGTAACCTCTGAAAAAAAAAAACACTTTCACTGATTTAACCTTTTTTTTTCCCTCTACAACTTTTCCTCAATGGTAAATCATAATTGCATTGCCTATACCAGTTTGCACACATACACAATCACCGCGGTACCAATGAAATGGAACCTTAACAGTGCTTTGTCCATAATCACACAGAGCCTTCTGGGGATCGTTGGATGGTCGTAAACACTGTGAATGTTGGATGAGCATCACAAGGTCGCTGTATTGCAGCTTGACTTTGGGGCAAAACTGTCCTATTGTCGCTACTGATAACGGATAGCTGAACCAAATCATACCCTCCCATTTCTTCCAGGCAACAGAACATTTTCAGTATCATCCAATTTGCAGGTTTTATCACAAACATTTACACGTACACAATAGTGATTGTTGCACTCTCTTGAATGACCCCTTCCCACCCTAGTAAGGCTGAATGTAAGAAAAAGACATGTACCGAGCAGCAATACATACTAGTAACATTAATGACATAAAAAATATATAATATGAAATCTTACAGCACTAGTAAATATATTAAGACATTTCTGCAACAGCATTGACTTGCTGGTATCATCAGCACTAGGCAACAACAAAACACTGAGCTTTTTTTTTTTCAAAAAAGAGAGACAGAAAGAGAGAAATGGCACACATCTATCATATTCACATTTCTAAACATTGTCATTGTATGGCTCTTGCTTTGTCTCTCTTCATTATGAGATTGTCTGATACAAAAAAAACTATTAAAGGCAAGGTGTGTTTGTGAATTATGTTTTGTTTATTGTGTGATGTGACTATCTGAGGCTGCCTTGATGCAATAACAATGCTTCTGACTCATTCGTTGACTTGTTGAAATGAAAATTCATTGTGTTGTATCACAAAACCTTGCACAACCTCTATTGACCTAAGCTTCTTTTATGCAGTATGCTATGCTGCTGTGTGTGTCACATGCATATTGTCAAAGCCTTTATAACAGAATTAATTGGATGAAAACATATGAAGAGCTTAAAACCTTTACAAAAGGTCTCCTCTGCTATCCTCTCACCCACACAGCCATGACTGATTATTACAAGATTATACTGTCAATGAATCAAGGACAAGATTACACTACTAGATAATCTGACTAAATAATTGATTAAGCAACAGATTCTGACTGATAATGTCCTAAATTTAGTCCTAAATTTAGTTTTATTCTAATAAAAGTATGGGGCAAAGTAATTAGTAATCCATTACACACACATATTGGCCACTTAAGGCTTATCTACAGTCTATTTATTTGTTACTCTATCAAACCAGAACTTGGAACTGAACTTTCAGTACTTGCTCAGCTTAATTGCGTACTTGATCATCATTTTCGGTTTGGACATTGTGGTCACTTTTACGAGCATGGTGGAAATGTGTGAATTACAGCTTAGAGGGCTCAGGAAAGAATTTCACCCCTACAATTATTCAGAGACAATTTTCAGCTCATTCATTTTATGACTGTGTCAGGAATTCAAAATGAAATGTCAATTAAGGCAAATGTTTTTCATGTAATGTGTGCCAGCATGTATGTTACTGTGTTCATGCATGTTGTAGTGAATCTCTGCACAGAGAGGCTTTACACCAATTCAGCGATACGTAGCGCTACTTGCCTGTACATAGCAAGGCATAAATGCACAAATCCTGTTTACGAGAGCATACTTCAGCACAGAAATGACGAGCCAATGACACTATCATATAGGCACAGGCTGATAATAAGAATACAATGTTAGCTAATTACAGCTATCACATACTTTCACAGTCTTTCAACTTGTTCCAGTTGCTTTCCCTGCAATAACAATGTAACATGAGAAGAATACTCTCAAGTAGAAAGCTTACTCATTAAGGGTTCAGTTTGAGTGACAGGTTATGAGTGAGTGCTAGTTCGCTGCAATATCTGGTTTCTCTGAACTGCTGTGTGTGTGTGTGTGTGTGTGTGTGTGTGTGTGTGTGTGTGTGTGTGTGTCTGTGTCCTTTCTCATGTGCTAAATAACTATATTAATGTGCCCTTGAGCAAGGCACTTTGTGGTTCTCAGTGTACTACACTACACTGTTTGTACTGAGCGGCTCCCAGCAGTCAATGAGTCTGAATAAATCCTTCCTCTTATTACAAGAGCTTCTGTTAAGCTGTGAAAGTGATGCAGTATGTATGTCAGTATGCATGTCAGAATAAAATGAATATGTAATATTCAATGCATGCCAGGAATTCCTTTATGATGAAATGAGGAATTTCCCTTTTATTTGTCACTTTTACTTCTACTTCAGTTAATGATTTCCTTCATTTCCCAGAATGCCTTTCAATATCCCCCAAGGAAGGAAGGAGATATAATACTATTAGTATGTGTTATTTGTCTGTATATTTTTGTCCCAACTACTTATCATCTGTGTGTGTACATTTATAATGTATGCTTTGTTGAAAGTATGTCTTCTATTAAACTCTGTTGTGGCTGTAGAGAAAATATATCTTGACATCATATAATCTACACTGGGCCACTTATTCATGAAAATATGTAAAGCATACTGTTAAACAAAATGAAGCCAGGAATGCACGGTAAAACTGCATAGCTGTGTTTCAACTGTATCTTAGGTTGGGTTTTTTCCTTTAGCTAATGCCTTTTTGTATAAAAATATATCTCTAGTGAAGTACTAATAAGATGACATGATGCGATAAGAAATGTAAGAATACAAAATAAGCCACAATTGAGCGGCAAAACACCTCTGCCAGCAAGAGGTATCGACAACAGCAATTACTTCTTCTCAGTGTGGTGTGAAATACATGACTAGAATGTGTCTTCTCCCAAGCAAGCATACGCTGACATCTCTCTGTAAGATTAAGACTTCATCAATGCCATTACTCTAAACACAAGTTAGCCAGAGGTGTAATGCGATCCAAGGCAGTTTAGCAGTGAGCTAATGCTTCTTGACTCACTACGATCACAGTCTCAGCCTATTAATGTGTGTGTGTCTTCTGCATGAATTGCAACAAATAGAGCAAACTGTGCATTTGGTTTGTGACGTTTACATTTGGCCGCCTCTGCATCAAATCATTTGATGGAGCGGCCGTAAAAGAGTCAAGAATACAGCGTGTGGCGCTTCACGTCTCCCTTTTAACGCCCTCTGAAAACAAACACCTGTACTCTCTCATCCATGCAAATTATTTGGTTTCCAGCAGGAATCAGGTAGAAACAGGCATTTGTGACCACAGGGGACTTCCCGGTCATTCAACCTCACACCTAAAGGCCTAATGGCATTGTGATTTCATGGTGAGAGGTTCCCCAGCAGGTCTGGGGTGATGTACCCTACGGGCATAGCCGGTAAGGCCTTAAGGGGTTGCTGTGGCAGGCAGGGAGGTGGAGACTGGCGGGGAGGCGGGTTGAGGAGCAGACTGTGTTGACTGCCCACCTCCTGTACTACTGTGTAGTCTGCAACAGGGGCAAAGAACTGGGACTGGGGAGAGTCAGGAAGAATGTAAGGTGATTGATTATCCTCTGCTGTGGCTGCAGGTTTGGTCTCCACTGGCGGAGAGTGTATGGTTTGATACCCCTCACCAGGCATAGGGGAGCTAGGGGGAGTGCTGATCTGCCGGGCGTTGATCTCCGTGGTGTAGCCGCTTCCTTCAGGATCCACGACCAGCAGCTGAAACTGCAGCTCCTTCTGTGTCTTTTCCTCCGTGTCCTTGCGTTCGTTCCCCTTCTTTTGTGTTTCCCCGTCTGTGGCTGAGGTGCTCTCCTGAATTCTGAGTTGCTGGCCAGGCGACAGCACCACTCCTCCAGAGGGCATCACATTGCTGACCTGAGCATAGAAGTCTGTGTTAACCCAGGTCTGGGCCCCTCCAGTTTGGGTTTGGACGAGGGGCCGCTCCCCACTGACCGGCGCCGGGACTCTTTCTACAACATCGAAAGAGGCATCTCTGTCTTCGGGTTGGCCTGGCAGCAGAGTGGCCATCATCATTAGGGTGTCTTGCTCAGGCAGATCTGGGTCATAACAGCTGGCACGGCCTGAATCATCATCAGGGAAGCTGGGTGGAAAAAAACAGAGATTCATATTTGTAGAGCTATCTGACAGCATGAAAACACCCCTTTTGCATGAGAATCTTCGCAGTACCTGATGACATTGGCACATCCTATGTTCATGTGGTGGCTGACGGGTTGTAGCAGACCCAGGAGCTTCTGGGTGTCTGAGCCCTGGTTGTCCTCCTTCTCTCCGGCATCTGCATCCTCAGCATCCACCTCGATGAATTCCACCCAGGGCTCGTCTTGGTAGAAATCTGGTGCATATGTTGGTAGGCCACCCATACCACCACCGCTCAGGATAAAATTCAGCTCGTTCAACTTTCCTTTCTGCATGTGCACAAATTTGTATGTTTTAAACATATGCGGCAGGATCAGAATACATTTTTCCTATTCTCTACACAGCCTTGTGACTAATGTGTAAATATCAGCTACAAACACAACAGGCTTTGCGTTTCACCTTTGTCTGGGCAACAACAGAATTATTGTTCTATTCTTTCCTCTCAGGAATTTTTTTTTCCGAGGTCCGGGGGGTAAGGATGTTTTGTAAAGAGCAAACAGGCTGCCTGTTAAATGCATCCCACATAATCTGGCAAAAACAGACCCACAACACAACACAACCAAGGCCCCCTTCACATTTATTCACCCCTCGGTGGTCCTCCTGTCCTTGTTTACTTACACAAAACAAAAGTGCTTGTTTGCTTTTAAATTATTTATGGACATTTTTGCTTTTATTTGAGGGTTGACTCAAATGATAAACAGGCTGTGCTTCTGAGAGGGACAGTGGGTGATGATGATGATTACGTGGCCTGCAATGCCTCCGCCAACTGAGCCACATGGACGCCCAGCAGCCAGAAGGGTCTGTTTTTAATCAAAATTACAATGGCAATGTAATGAAAAAACTGGTTACACAACACTTATATAATCACTTTACTGAATAAACAATGCGCAATAACATATGTTGGCGGCTGTTAATCATTGATCACAATTTTGCTCTTTGTGTATACAGAGTAGAATATAGTATATGAGTCCGACCTATTGGAGAGTTAAATAATCCCTCTCAATCATCTTTCATGACCCACTAGAAGTATGTGGCAGTGTCTGTATCTGCAGAAACCCTGCCCTCTGTCTATATGTTCTTATTTTGCTGTGTTTGGGACATTTTTGGGTGCCAAACTTTGGGCAGTGGGTGTGTAGCCCTCCGCTAATAACAGTGCGTAAACACTGATTGGAGAGGGAGCTACGCTGTGTGCTTCTGGTCTCGTTCAGCCATGGAGGAGGGGTCAACTTTGAATGCTGTGTTTACAAACTGCAACCTACAAATCCTACTCAATTCTGCCATTAAAAATTACAATACATGAATAAATATTTGTTTTGCTAAATAAATGCATAACATGAATCCAGTAAACATGGCTTATTAATATATGTATGAACTGAGTCATTTTACAGATGAAAAATAAACATTTCATTGCTCTCTGGTGGATAAATGATATAATGGTGACACTATTTTGAATTACCACAAACACACATCATCTTTGGCATGGTCTAGTACTGCAATTTATTGGTATCGGCCAAAATATATGCCGATAACAACACATCTGCAACAAGCAAAGACCAAGTATGTTAATGTTTCGGTCAGGGTCTTGTATGTATGTTCACATTAGACAAATCACAGCAAAGGCAGAATAACAACACAGACACAAATGTACCTTTAACAGCTCCGGATCGATGCCTTTAATTTTGGGCACAGGAACCGGTGGCAACAGAATCATCATTAATCTGCAACGGCAGGGGAGACATGATGAAGGTAATCTGTTCACACTTGTCAGTATTTGTGTGTGCGCGTGGCCTGGCAAATGAGGCCACCCTGAGAGCTGCGTGGCACTATCTGCTGTGAATTTTGGAAACGTATCGTCCCGCTGTAACTGCGGTCATTAATTCAGTAGCGATTGAATATGTTTTGGGGTAGATGCATGAAAGAGTGAGAAAGTCCGTTCCTACCTGTGCTGCTGAGAGACGACAACTAGCATGATGAGTATGAGGATCCCCACAACCCCAAAAACAAGAACAAGCATGAGTGGGAAAGTAGACTCTGAAAAACAACATGAAACAGAACCCATGGTCGTCATCACAACTACAATGTTTCCGGTTGTTCAAGGTGGTGCACGCTGTATGTCTGACCTAAATGAAGCAATGAGCCAGATATAATATTTTTTTTCATTTATCTAAAATATTGTGTCGACCCATCATGATGTTACCTTTGCCGGGAACCTCAGTCACTTGAATGAAGATGGAGTCGCTGAACTCTCCAAACTTTGTGAAGGCCTGCATCCTGCAGCGGATGTGCACTTCATACTCTTTTCCTATGTGCAGACCATAGATAGTCTGCTGGGTGTGCGGCTGAATCTCCAACTGAAATGCAGAAACACATAGAGAGAGGAAGAGAGAGAGAGAGAGAGAGAGAGAGAGAGAGAGAGAGAGAGAGAGAGAGAGAGAGAGAGAGAGAGAAAAGAACAAAAATACAGAGTGAATTTAAAATGTTTTTATTCATCAGAAAATGATTCAGCTTTTGTTTATCCTGACAACTACAAATGAAGCTTACTGAAGCTTAACAATCAAGGGGACTATGTTTATTTTTGGTACCTGTAACAGTGACCTTTCCAAAGGTCCAGTTGTTTTTTTTTTTTCAGATACATTAGACAGAGGACATACTGTTATAATGGTGGGCTCTAAAACTGTTTCCAAGGCTGCATTTGTCTGGCCAGGCAGCAATGAATATGAGTCTGTTCAAGGTCCCATGGCCTCTGACCTACAGATCCCTCCCTTCACTTCCTTCAGAGAGGCTGTGTTTTCCCAGAGGGCCTTGCTCTGGCTTCCACGGCCTTGCCAACAACTGCATTTTAGCCACAAGAGTCCACGGGGGAGGGGAAAGGAAACACGACACTGTGCCTCTATGACCTACCTACAATTTACTTTAAGAGGTTGCATGAGTGTTTGTATTTGTGTGAGGTTGTGCATGCGCACATAGACATTTTGTGAAGTTTAAAGGTGTGTGTTTAAATGTGTCAGGACATATAACCATGCATGTGCCCAAAAGCAAATGAGGAAGACAGAGAATTTAAGAGCAAGTAAAAGAGAGAAAACTTACTGCTTCCCAGTTTGTGGTATTTCTCTCTCTGTACTGGATCTCATACTCAATGCGCATCCAGCCTGCACTGACGTCTGCAGAGGGTGGGGGCTCCCAGTTGACCATAACATCAAAACTTAGTCCAGAGGGACTTATATTCAGCAGGGTCCAGTTTAAAGACACTGGTGGGTCAGGACGCACTGTTAGGAAAAGGGTAAAAGTTCAGTTTGAACAAAATGAATATCATTGAACATGGTAAGTTAAGACATGTCTTTGAATGCACTTGATCAACATTTACAGTTAATCAAAGAAACTACTGTATACGACCTATAAGTCAATGAATTTTAAAAACGTATCCTGTAAAAAAAAAATACCGCTTTCACACCCCGAAAACGCAGTATCCGTCTGGACGTGAGGCCAATACGATAAAGTATTTATCTGGATTCGAGAAAAACGTATTTGTGAGGACAGGCCCTGAGCTGCTGCAGCCCAAATCATGTGCCCTATATCAACATACAGACCTACAGCAAGTTTTGCTAGTGTCATAACAATCAAATTGATACTCGCTGGTACTCCACCATACTTAACCGTTCAATGAAGTCAACAAAATGTTTACTACTACGCTAGTCTTAACCCTACCAACTGTGGGGCTAAACATGTAAATATTGTTTTGACTATGATCAAATTTAAAGGGTGTCTCCTCAAACTTCATTACAATTTGTCCAATTAGATTAAAAGTTATTCTGTGTAAATATTAGCACTTTGACCTGAGGGTTGCGCAAGGAAGGAAGAAGGAAAACTCATGGAGTGGAAAGAGAAATGCAAAAATTCTCAGTAAATGTAATGGAAAGTTGCCCATTACAAGTTTATACTTTGTGGGTGCAGGTAGAACTTTTGGGCATGGGTCACCAAAAACATCAAGATTGAGCATCTGGGGACTATTAATATTTACAGCAAACTTCCTGGAAATCCTACTGTGAGTTCAGCGGTAAATAACATCCAAATGTTATTGATAAAGACATGCTGATAATTAGATTGCACATAAAAGGGGAGAGCAAATAAACAAAGGTTCCTTCATGGAAGAGATATCAATGAACATATGACATTGCCATGTGATAATACAGTATATCAGCATCTTCTACAGTCCTGGTCAGATAAAGAAGACTGTCAGACATCAAAACATTTACCAAGTAAACACTGTGTATCTGACACACTATCAGGCTGTGATATTGGCAAGCATGTGACATTTGCTGCTTCAGCTGATATGCAGCAGAAAATACCATTTCTTGGAAGCCCTTTGTACAGGTGATCTATCGTTTTAGCAGCACCCATTTTATTACATGTCAGGGTAAGAACTCTGCTAGAACATGTTTCACAATGACGACTGGAAATGTAAGATAGAATTCCCTTATTCATTGTATATATTGCAAAAATTCGGATATATGCACACATTTCTCACTAACCGATATTCTCCACAGTGAAACAGTCATCCTCATTGAAGTAAGTGATGTTGTTTAGGCTGCGGAGCTGCATGCAGTAGGGGATCCAAACAGATGTGTGGTTTACGTCAAAGAAGCACTCCCTGTTTGAATGGATATACTCTGGACACTCTTTCCATTCACTGCTGGGTGAGCTGAAGGAGGAAAACAATAAAGGAAAAAAGAGAAGAAGAGGCAAAAGAGGATATAACTGTCAACTGAAGGCTGGATTGTTTTTATTTGAACTTCTCCTGGTAAAGAATGCTATGACACTCACTCTTTCTTAATGTAGAAGACTCTGAGTGCTCCAGGGGAGGACAGGTTGTTGAAGCTGCCTGGACTCCACCAACATCGGAATGTCTCCTGGTCCCTCGATATGCATTCAGTGAAATGAGGTTCAAGGGGAGCTGAAAGACAGAAAGGCAACAATCAGAGACAGAACAAACAAATGAACTCAGATAGCATTAGGCGGATCAATCACCTGTATTGACATCTATGAACTCTAAAGAGGGGGTTTAGATTTATCAATGCAACAACACTGATAAAATCCAACCCTCATTATCCCCACTCCATCCTCAAACCATGACTTCTGCGAATCGGCACAAACAACTCTTACTTTTTCGCAGTAGATACAAGTGAGGTAGCTACAATTCTATCTAAACCTCAAGGTAAGAGTGATGCAAACCTGCCACAATGCAAAATAAATATCACAACAATACCTCAAGTTTACCACCCATCCTTGAAATACTGAAAGATTGTCAATAAAATGTTGTAGTTGAGACCTTTAGACATTGTACGTAATCCTGTTATTTAGGCACAAAGAGCTGTTATACAAATCCAGAATACTTCTTCTGTAGCTTGTGTAACATGACGTTTGACGAAGTATTTCACCAACACAAGCTGGCAAATGTGTCAGTGTACATTGCATTAGCATCACATATTTTCCGTAATAGAAGTTATGACCTACCTGTAGCTGCCAGCTGCCATGAGAAAAACACATAACCTGGATAAAGGCTATGTAACGTACAGCGAGGGTAACACTTTCTGCTGGCGGGAGATAAGGCTCATTATCACTCTGCAGCTGATGTTAATCTAAAATTGACTCCTGCTATTTGTGAACCTGTGCCACACAAGTGAGTAGGAAAACAGCTTGTTGATAAATGCTGTTACTTTGCATCAAATTTTACTCACCAGGCCTTCCTAACCTTTCGATCTATCCACACACATTTCATACCATTTCTCCTCTACCCCCAACCTAAGGGCCCTGACTCAGCCCTTTCCACCTCTCCCTCGGCACCCTGTCACTCCTCATCACCAATTCCCCGCCAACTCCCTCCCCTGTCGGAGGCCAGTTTCTCATCCAGCTGAGAGTCCCAGGGCTTGGTGCAACCATAAATAAGCAACTGAAGGTATCATTGATTTCTGCTCTATCCGCTCTCCTCCAGCACTGGCTGCAGCATAAATCTCACACACAGACCCAGAACATAAACTTGCTTCACAACACAAGGCAAGGAATTAAAGACAGACTGGAGCAATACTCTGCAAATGCAGCAGAGCACTGTCAGAGGAAAAGTTTTTTGAGTTTATAGACATTAAACAAGAATTATTTCAAGATAAGAATCACTAAATGAAGCTAAGTCTTACTCAAGAACTATGAAATATTACAGCAGCGTATACAGTATGTGCATGTGTACAACACTTGCACACAAGACACACACCCGGCCAGCATGCATCCCTTGTTAACATAAACATACTTCTAACCACCACAACTAAACATCCTTACAAAGAAGCCCAAGCCCAGGCAGACCAGACTGCATCATTTATTCACACAGAATGTACACCATTATTTTGATTGCTTTGCTTACTTTCTATTTGATGCTGGTGTAACCTCATAATTCATTGCATTCCTACACCATTGTGCCTCTAGCTCTCAACCCTTCCTCCCCCTTTCCCACCTTCCCTCCCTTCATCTTCTGCACACTGTCGTGGTTCCCAGAGCTTTGCTATTTCAACCCGGCCTCCCTCCCCCTTCCAACAAATTCCAGCTGCCACCATCAAAGAGCTTTCTGCAGACACTGGATGCAAAGGAGAGCATAGAACTACAGCAGGACAGATTGCATAAAAAGTAAAATAACACCTTGAAAATTCAAGTTTTTGGGTTAAAATATATCCTTGGCAATCCTGACAGCTCAATCAGTCTTTTGTTTATACAATGTTTTTTGATTTGCTACTTTAAACTCTTGCTCATATGCAATTATTTACATAATAACACATGTCTGAATGTCGTCTCACAGCTGTTGCTCTATTCTTGGTGGAAAAGACTCAAAAGCATACAGGCAGCATTTTGACAGTTAACCTCTCCATAAAGAATGAGGCTCTGCTGGTAAAGGTCAGAAGATACAGCCATTTTTGGAAAAGCTGTTTGCATTTATGAACACGGCCCTGAATCTTAGTCCAATCTAAAGCGTGTCAGAGGTGAAAGGTTGTGCAGCAACACCTGGAGAGACTCAAATTCTCAATATCTCTCTTTCTCACTCATTTGCTGACTGTCATACTTCTCAATTTCAATTCATGTCAATTCAGTTTGCTGTATTGGCATGAGTGTAACAAGCACAATGTTGCCAAAGCATTAAGAAATTATAGAGTAAAAAGAAAAAAAAAAACTTTAGAATTCAGGAAAAACCTGAAAACACGCACTTTGCCGTGTGTATGTTTGACAGAGATTGTGGAGTGCGTTGAAGTATGTGTGAGTGAGTGTGTGAGTCTTACTTTTCTTCTGTGATATTATAAGACATAATCCTATACATTGCTTTCTCGCCATAATGTCTTTTTCAGTGGATAAAAAAGCAAATGGAACTGTTCAAATTCTAACTGGTTCACAAGCCAGGGGAAAACGTCTTGACAGCTAGACGTTGATTACCTGCCAGTGGTAATTTCGCTGGAGGGCCTTACTGCCCATTTTCTACACGTACTAATATATAACCAGTTTAACTGATGTGAAGCTAAATCCTGTCTGTACCTGCCAGCTGCCATTAAATGATTAGCACTTGAGAGCCTTCGGCTGGAAGAAGAAACCTAATTTTGTGTGTGTGTGCCTTCAAACCGGCTGTCCATATGTATCTGTCGGTCCTTGTGGGCTGTGTGTACAGCTGAGACTGATAAACAGCTCTTAGCTTCACGTCCTGTCTTCATCAGTCCATACAGAGGAGCTAGGAAACCACTTATCTACCTCGATGTCAGCTTTAGCCATTAAGGTTTAAAATCCACTAAAAAGCCTAAATAAAGCACTCTTCTCTGGGCCCCTGCGCAAGCTGGCAAACAGCACTAAAAAGGCGGTGAGAAAGGTGCGAACAGGCTTTATCAGTTACCATATTGCGAAAGGCTTGACTGTCATGAGGAGCAAGGGCGAAATGAGGCTATGACGCTATGAATTACCACCTTTTCCAGCTCATTTGCAGATTTAAGTTAGTATTGAGGTTAATAACGCTTCAAAAGGCTGCTAAAAGGAGAGAGGAGATGTGAGGCAAGAAGGAGGAGGAAGTGAGAGAGACAGATAGATGGCAGTCACAGTCACAGAGAGTCAATGTGTGATTTTTTTGGCTGCAAAACAAACGCCGTAGAGAATAAAATTTATGTCATTATATATCAGACAAATAGTAGTATATATATTTTCCTTGATGAAACTGACATTTTAAATTCAGAGCATAAAGTCAAATTAAACAACTTTAGACATGACTACATGATAATCTAGTTTATTATTGTAGTGTACTGTTGATAGAAATTTTAGTATCTGGAGGCGATTCATTATTTGTCCCACATCATTTTGTGTGGCATCCTCCAGGGTTCAGTTTTAGGTCCGTTACTATTATCTTTGCTGTATGAAAGCACTAGGAACAATTACTGACACAAAATAAATTTTAACTCCTATGATTCACTAATATTTAGTAACTAAGCTGATCTCAGCACATTGACAGAAAAATTCCATCTTCCACAGCCAGAACTCTACATCAGACCACATATTAGGTATCTGTGTGTGATTATTTGAAAGTGCATTCAATTCTAAGAGACAAATTGGTTGTTAAATGTAGCTTTTTTTAAAAACACGGAACTGCATCTAAAATCAGGCATTTCCTTCCCTTATCCTACATGGAGAAAGTTCTTGGTGTACTAATATCCTTGCAGACTTGTCTACTGCAAATCGTTGCATTTGGTAATTTGCCTGATGGTATTTCCCGTCTGCAATTAATGCAGAACGCTGCTGCTGCTGAAGTGCTGCCTGGACGTACAGAAAAGATTTTACATTTCTGTTTGGTTTTCCTAAGTGTAAAGCACTTTGGCACAAATTTGGTTTATTTTTAAAGCATTAAATAAATTAACTTGATCATTTATTACTTTGGGACTGTATGTGCAGTTTGTGCACACGTTTAAGGGAGTGTTTTTATCTTTTTTTGTACTTATGCTACCACACTGTCAACAATAACACAAAACACACGCACAAATAGACACTCACATACACACTAGTAACATGGACTGCGTCTCTTCATCCTGGTATTAGCACATAATTGATTTGATTGCCCTATGCTTGAAAAGAACACACACATGCCTGCTGAACAGTACAACCTTTTGTCCCCGGTCACTTCATTCAAATAACTCGTATTCTGCTTTCCACTGACAGAGTAAACACAATAACAAGACACTCAAAGCCAAATTGCCACTGCAAGTCTCAATTTATCCCCAACAGGAAGGGTAAAATATAACTCTTTTTAAGGGTAAAGCTATCACATACAGTGATAACATTACACTATTTCACCACAAAGATTATGTATTGTCGATGCAAAAGGCTTCATTATGTTTATGTCTCCATACATACTTTAAGTTGTAAGTTATATGTTATATTTAGTTATATTTTATATTAACATTTTCTATATTTTTAATTTTTATATTCTTACTCTTCTACTTGTGTGTTGCCTCAGGGAGTCGGGCAAAGTACGATTTTCATTGTAAGTACAAACAACTGTGTTTCTTACTGTAAATATGATAATAAACCTCTTGAATCTTGAATCTTGAATCTTGAATCTAGGCAGACTACAGCTAACTCGGTACTACCGTTCAGCACCGACTTCTGACTGCCATTGCAGGACCTATGCCAGATGATCCACATCGCTTAATGCAGCACCATCAGTCTGTGTGTGTGTGTGTGTGTGTGTGTGTGTGTGTGTGTGTGTGTGTGTGTGTGTGTGTGTATGTGATTCTGTTAACCAGATGGAGAAATTGGCAGCACACACTGACACTGTGCTAAGAGTAAAAGTGCCTGTCAGTCTGCACATGCCAAGTCCTACATTATGTCCCTGCTCCACAGCCCATTCACACACACACACACACACACACACACACACACACACACACA